TAATAAACTGCAAGTGAAAAGATAGAGACTTGAAATTATGCATATTAAAAAAAAAAAAAACTATTCTGGTGGATTTCTATGAAGAGTTGAAAAGTATGTACATATTTCCATTTGTTAATTTTAAATATTTCATCGCACTGTATGTTGATGATAATAGATAGTTAGTGATATAGCAGAGAAAATGGGAATTAAAATATAAATAATTACCTTAAAAAACTTTTGATATTCATGTATGAGGTTCTAGAGATCATGCAAATGAAATATGAAAATGGTTAGATCAAAATAGTATTTTTATACTTCACATAAAAATCACCTTGCAGGTGAACTATTCAAAGTGTGAGTGCAAATAACTACACTAAATAAGGAATATTTTTATTAGAAATAGTAAAAAAATTCAAAATTCAATGCTTTATTTTTCTGAAACTATATACTTTTAGGAACATTCTTGTCAAATTTTAAACAGTTTTATCTTTGGAATGAAACATAATGATAGAGATGTCATGTGTTATGATTCATAGCACACAGCTATCAAAGGGTTAAAAACTCTAATCTTTCAATACTCATAATCATCATTAAAGGTGCTAATTTCATAGGTACATTTATAGCTTGAGTACCCCAGACACATATATCCCAAAGAAGACTTACTCAGGAAGCCATGAGAGTCAATGTCGTAGAGCCATAAGAAAAGGGGACTCCCCATGTTTAAAGGCATAATGTTTTTACCTTAGTAGGTTGATACAAGCTAAAGATATGGTATTGTTAATTGATTTAAAAGAAAAAATCAGTAACAGGACAACAAGTGTTTTAATGAGAAATATTTAATTTGGTCTAGTTATGACATATATAGTACAATCAAGAAAGTTGCTTTGCTTGTATGACTAACTCCAACCCTGTATGGTTTTGACACACAGGCACTCACAAAAGAAATAAATGTTAGCATATATGGCTCTACCTAATTAGATGGAGTGTTACAAGTCAGTAGCACCTACCACCAATCATATAGTTTCTTTTAATTAATTAGTGACATATGCTATCACACTTATGATGTCCCATACTTAAGGTGCAGTGTGTGTGTGTTCAGTGGCATAAAGTGATTTGACTGAACTTGGGACCTTCTAATTTACAGCTTAGTATGTTACATTTTTTGTATACAATAGTGTCTATTTTACAATTACCAGGTTTTGAGTAAATTTTGTTGAGTTAATATTGCTTTGTGAAATTTCTTGACATTATTATTGTCTTATAAAATACTTCCCTACAAGAAAAACTATATCTCAAGATCCATTTGCTAACTTTCTAAATCAGATAATATTATACAAAATTAGAGTTCTAAATTACATGTAATATGACTGTTATTACTTAATAAATGTGAATGTGTTAATCATTTAATCATAAACAATAAAAATGCATGAAAAAGTTGTTCAATGTATTGGCCAAGAATGTTAAACTCGAAATTCAACCCAATGATGATTATTAGGCTGTAATGTCAACTCCAGATGCTCTAAGTTACATATTTTTAATTTGAAACTTTTGAACATATCAGATTATTCATTTAAGGCTTTCAAGAAATATAGGAATATCTTGTTTAAGATTATTCATTGCTCCTTATGCACACTAAGTATAGTTACACAAATGGCTATTATTAGAGATTTCTGTTTCAAACAATACATTTACTGTGTAGGTTACTTTACTAGTTTACACTAAATGCTTTTAAGTTTGCTAATAAGTAACTTAATTTAATCAAAAGTTCTTAAAATACATAATACAAATAATATTAATTCATTTTGTGAATTACAAATTAGCAATTACTAATTTGTTGGTCTCAACACACTCCAATGACCAGTACATGGAGGCACTGTGTTGTTTGACAAATTATGTATTTAGATATCTTAATTATCATAGGGATGTTTTTACTATTTAACACAGACAGAATAAAATATCACAAAATATCATTCAACAATAAATGTAATAATAAAAGTTATTGCTTTATTCTGATTTATCATTCCAATGGATTGAAACTTGATACTAAAGGATTAATGTAATCTAATTAATTACCTCCATTTCCTGAGCTAAACGATAGATTCGTGAGACATCTTTCGACCAAATACTGGCACACAATCCATATTGAACATCATTAGCTCGTGATATAACTTCCTCTTCAATATCAAATGGAACAACACAAGTAACAGGTCCAAATATTTCCTCTTGCATACAAAATGACATATCTGGAAGGTTTGTCAATACAGTTGGGGATATGAAATATCCCTAAAGGAAAATATCAAAACTAATTATAATAACTATTCATGTTCTGGATTTGTTTTTAATAAAGCTTTCTAATTATTGGTATCATTATAAAACAAAAATCATCATTTTGCACTTTGCATATGTAAAAGTAAGATTATGGATCATAAATAAACTTGATGAGAAATTCACTACACCTACTAATAAACAAAAACTTTTAATAATAATTGCCAGCTACATTATACCAAAATAACTAATTATGTACATAGATAAACAGATTTCCAGGCAACTCTCATCAGAAAAAGCTGCAATAAAAGTGGGGAGGATTTTTAAAAAATTACGAGCAAAATATGTAGGATTATACAAAGGTAAGGTGCCACTACAACTTACTTTTAATGACTTGTCTCTTTGTGGCTGTCTCATAATATATTTCATAAATATTATACCTATTTTGTAACAAAATGTCCTACCTAGAATGAGATTTTTGGGATTGTGTTGAGGGCTAGAAATAAAAAAAATATGCTATGATGAAGCAAAAGTGCATACTTGGATTTGTAATTCTAAAATGTAGTAGTTAAGTTTCTTTGTTCTCTAGGAAGCTTTACCTTGTAACACAGAGCGAACAAAAGAAGCACCAAATATTTCCCTGTTTTAACCAATTGGAAAAATTAGTTCTGTAATATTATGTCATTGCACATTATCATGTCTATTTCTTTAGGTTAAAATTAACAGCAACAGAATACTGGCAAGAGCTTTCTTCACTTTGTCACTGATGACTTGCAAGGGTTTTGGAGATTACAATAATATACTGTTGAGGTGTAGAAAAAAACAGAAGCAATATTACAGCAATTTCTTAAAGGAAACCACAAAACTAAAAAGTAGAAGTGTTGGATAGCCTGTTAAAATAGAAATAATTTAAACTAACATTCTGATTTTCTGGAGGAAGATCCAAATCCACATCCAATCCACCACATAAGAAAGTTGCTCCTTCCTTCTCTGCAATTTTTAAATAGTTTTTAACTTTCTCCATATGCTGTTTGCTTATTAATGGTCCCATCCAAGTATCAGGTGCTGAGGGTGCACCAACTTTGATTTTTCTGCAAGTGAGACAAAAGAAAATATTCACAATAAATTCCATGTTTCTGTAAATTAGCTGCTAGAAAAAATTTCTATGGTTACTGATATATATATATATAGTTATATACAAATAAATGTTTTTCACTTTTAATTGTAACACCATACCTCCTATAAAATTTGAAGAATTTATTCATATTTTGTCATTTAATATATTGTTCATTTACAACTACTTCTTTTAATCTGCCAGCTGTAATGATAATTTGAGTTCACTTAATGGATAAGTTTGTATGATTTGATGGCTTCATGCTTACCTTATATATATACACTGTAGACAAACATCATAAAGAGTCCAAGTTTAGGTCTCTTTACCATATTCATATCAGCTTTGAGGTAGCATGTTAAGTTAAACAATTTATGTTGGGAGGTTGAATAAAAGTACACCAGCATTGAGACATACATGCTAGAAATTCTGATAAACATGTTCTTGGTAATTGTATTTATAAATTTTCAAAGGCCTATGACATGTGACAATCAGAATACAAGGTTTCTAGTCAGAGAGTTCAGTGTTCTTTAGAAATTACAAGAACTTATGAGTTAAAAGTAAAGAAGAATGCAATACTCTGTCAACCTTACTATATCAGCTACATCCAGTGCCAATGAAGCCTTTTTCCCAATACTGGGGCTCATCAGGCCAACTGGCAGATGACAATTGTTGAGATGCTATATATATCATGAATTGCTTAAACAACTGTTTCAAAGTAAGGATAAGTTGGTGAACTATAACTTTTATCAATTTTATTTAAATAATTACATATCAGAATTGTTTATTATTAATATTATTTATTTTAGTTGAATTAACATTACTCATCCTTCAAAAAACTGATATGCCAGTAAGTTTGTTTTTTAAATCTGGAGCAGATCAACTAACTGCAATGTCAACTGAAGAAGACTACATTAATAATTATAATAACTTATGAGTGAAATTGTATTAATCCAAAAAAAATAAATTATCTTACAAAGTGAGAATTTGCTATATGAATCTTAACTGAAAAGATTATTTCTTGATTGTTCGAACAGAAGCAATATTTTGCAAGGCACAAGTCATGAAACCTCAGTAAATTTTTGCTGTTGAAAAAGATCTATGGTTGAACTTTTTTCTTATTACTAATATTATAATGTTATAAATTACTGTTTAGTTATTTCATTTCTGTCTTTTAACTCACATAATGTTAAAGAAACATCATCTTGGCTCAAGCAAGAAAGTTGTGTCTGGATTTTGGAAAGAAAAATTTAGTAGCTATAACTTGAAGATGAATAAACATTTCTCTGTATATACTAACTCTTATAAGAGTTTAAAAGTAAAATCATCTATGACTGTGAAACAGTGGCATTGATTTTTGTGTACTGTATATAAAAATGTTACTGTAAAACACAAGAAAAACTAGAGAACACAATGTGATAGATTGCTTAAAAATACAAATCACTTATGAATTAAATATTACTTGACAAAATGGAAACTTACTTAATTGTTTCTTTTACAAACTCTTGAATGAAAACCTCAAACACTGATCGCTGAACATATATTCTGCTTGTACACAAACACACCTCACCCTGGTTCAAAAAACTTGCTCTGGAAAAATAATGGAAAAGGTTGCAAAAAACGTAAGAAAATCCAGTTTTGTCTGCAATAGTTGCCTTTAGCACTATAAAAATATATATAATGATTAAAAATGCTGAGAAGTCACAACTTATGAAAAACAATTATTTAACTTTGGATATTATGTCAGCAAGTTTTCAATTTTAGCAGATATTACATTTTCGTATAATTTTCTTGTGTATTTAGTGTATCAAAACTTTAATTATTCTCCTCATTAGAATTACTTCACTTTGTTACTTTCAGCATCTTTTTAAACTGTGGTTAATATATATATATATATATAATTTTTTTTTACATTTCAAAACTACTCCTTGTTTGTTAAGTGTTTTTATTAAGAATTAGTAACTATTTTACTTAACTATTTCATGATTATTTACAGAAATTAAAAATCCAACAACCTGCAAAACAATAACTAACATTTATGTTTGATAGAATGTCAATATGTTATTGTATATACTACTAACAATGTTTCTGGTAGCACACTTCAACATAGCAAAAGATTTATTGAATTTCAGCAGTGTTATATATCAAAACTAAAACTACCTTACAGTCTTTACTCACTGAAGATAAGTGTTCACCTAAAAAAAAATGTTAGTTATCAAATTATCACAGGTGTTTTGATTATTATTGTACATGTAATCATAGTTCATATTGAATTACTCAGATAAATTTCAAGTACTTTTCAAGCACTTTTTGGAAGCTAAAATCTATATCAAAATCAATTGGATTCCACTGAAATTTTATAAAATTCTCATATATTTGTTCAACATATGAACGTATACTAAAAATACTTTATTTATCGGCCCGGCAATGCCAGGTGGTTAGGGCACTCGACTCGCAATCTGCGGGTCGCGGGTTCGAATCCCTGTCACACCAAACATGCTCGCCCTTTTAGCTGTGGGGGTATTATAATGTGATGGTCAATCCCACTATTTGTTGGTAAAAGTATAGCCCAAGAGTTGGTGGTGGGTGGTGATGACTAGCTGCCTTCCCTCTAGTCTTACACTGCTAAATTAGGGACGGCTAGTGCAGATAGCCCTCGTGTAGCTTTGCGCGAAATTCAAAAACAAAAAAAAACTTCATTTACTGCGCTCAACCATACAACATGCATTAAAGTTAGGTATATCGATGTATTATTGCTATTACAATATTTTCAAGTACTTTTGCAAAAAAGTCCATTTTCAAGCACTTTCAAGTGCTTGAAATTCCACTCACAATTTCAAGAATGTGTATGCATCCTGTGTAATATATATGCTCTCTGTGCTTTATGATTCAAGAATATTTTACAAAATTAAATTATTTTTACTTGTACTAAACCCTCTAGATTAATTCAACTATTACAATTATGACAACTTCTGAAGACAAGCAAGCTACACATTTCTGAAGCAAAGGGAAATTTCTGAGGAAATTTCATCCGTTGCTTCTGTGAATTTAAATAGAATAAAACAATATTAACCAAAGTTATATTAGAAACTTAGAAAAGTTAAAGAGACAGAAGAGAGATAGAGAGAGGATAAATCGGTCGAAGGACAAATAACGAGTCAACGCCTCGAAGGACATATAAAAAAACTAACGAGAACAAGGAGAGGCTTGTGTAGTAACTAACGAGAACAAGGAGAGGCTTGTGTAGTATAGCATAAAAAATAAGCCTTGAAAGATAAGTATCAAGCACAGGGCTAGAAACCGTGTTTTTTATATAACTACAGTCAGTGACAGATACGAGGCTAGAATAAGTTTAGAACGACTGT